AAGAGCTAGATAAAGTCATGGAGGATAGGTCCATCAATGGCTATTAGCTATGATGGACAGGAAGGATATCCCTAGCTTCTGTTTGACAGAAGCTGAGAATGAGCAACAGGGGATGGATCTCTTGGTTACTTTTTCTGTTAATTTCCTCTGGGGCACCTGACATTAGCCACTGTTGAGAGACAGGATACCCATTCCTGAACAAGATCATACAGACACTGTTGAAGCTAATATTCTTGGCCTGGTACAATCTGGCCATTTCAAAATGGCGACTGCTTTAGTGAGATGGATGGATGATTTCTCCTGTCAATGAATAAAGAGTAGACATCCTTTCTCATATGTTTGGGAAGGTCTGCAGCATTTGAAACTGCAGAGAAATCTGAGAGTAAGGCCCTGAGAAAATCAGTATTTTTTTAAATTCATGGTTGTCCTGAGTAATGTACAGATTTTTGCAGACTGTGCACGGCCACCAAATGTCTTCCCCTGTCCACTGAACTGCTGCAGATTTTCCAACAGCAGGGAGGCAGAAACTGGCATCCACGCATGCTAGTTTTGTGCTTGCTGTGCCTCAGAACATGTGTGTGTGACAGCATCATAATGTCAGAGCAGCAGTTTAGGTAGAGGACTAGGTGGCTGGTTATACCAAGCCAGTAGCCAATGTTGTTGCCTCTTGGAACATGCACTGTGAGCCCTAAGTGTGTGCACATGTCTGCTACTGTGCCTTGAATAAAAACAGACATTAAGTCCTCTTCTGAACTGTTGCTCTAACATAAGGCACACTAAGTACGAGATTGCTGTGCGAGAATGCCCAGTTCTTCCTTTCTGCTGTTGGAAAAGTCCAACACAATGATAACTTTGTGATTTTCATGAAGTCTATGAAGTTGGAGACGTAGCCTTAGTTATGCATTTTTTTCATCACCTCTTGGCAGTGGCGATGCACTATATCCAGGCATGAAACATTCAGCTCTGAAAGTCCAGCTCATACAAAATGCTGCACCGCATCTCTTCAGGGCACAGACTATTGTACCTGTTTTCTGCTGTCTGCCTTAGCTTCCTTTAGAATTTTGAATCAAGTTCAGTTTCTTTCTTTAGGCACAATGGACTTCTCAACAATAGAGGTAAAGTTCAGCTGTGTGGGAGACAGAACATCCTCTTGGGGTGGTCTGAAGTTGTGGAATTAACTCCCCCAGGAACTAAAGACAATCCAAATCTCAGCACTTTCCTCTCCAAAGACAAGGCACATTTTTTGACCTTGGTTTCTCTAATGTAAACATACAGCAATTGGTATATTTACAATCCCACACCAAAATTAGATACTCCGCTGTACGTTCTTCTTCCCCTAGGAAAGAGAGAGAGCAGATGTGACAGCTATGTAGTTACATAACTTACTGTGCCACTGGAAGGCATTCATATGCTATGGGGATGAATCCTGTATAAAAATCTATTTAAAATCAAACCTGGAATTTCCCCTGACTTGATCTCAAGGACCCCAGTCACCTTCCTTAGCCCCAGATTCAGTCATCATAGAAGTATCTCATGCACATCCCTATTCATTTCTGCATATGACCCTGCATATGCCATTCTATGGAAGACCTTCTGGAGACTGATAATACTCTTTTCAGCACCATGCTAATGGTGTTCTTGGGTACAGATGCCTTTACAAGTACACATTTAAAACCCAGCACCTGTGCAAAATTTGATGTCAAGGGACCTTTCACATAAGTTTGAGGATGGGATGAATGTCTATCAGAGGGATTGTGGGAGTCCCCTCCAGAAGAACATACAGATGGCACCTTACCAGAAGATCACATTGGTTGTTCATTTGTCCACCCCTGTGAATAGCAGCTGTTTTTGAGGAACTGTTGGGGAGAAGGGCAAGCATACTGCCACTACAGTCTGGCTACAGCACTGGAAACATCAGCTCCTCAGTTGGATGGGATAGAAATGCAGGCAAGGGATAAATTAGCTCTACTTATCAGCTCCAGCTTTCTTTAAGTGGCCAAGAATATCTATCTCACTCCATTCTTATTAACACCTGTATCCAAGAGAGCTGAAGGACATCAATTTTGTTTTGTTGTCCTTTATCAAACCCCTTGGTGTGATTTGCAGCATAGGAAAGAGTTAGAGACAAGAAGACAAGACCTCTCAACTCTTCCCCATCTGACATTGAGGGGACGTAAGTTTTTGCCTAAAGAGCCTATTTGTTTGCCTTAGATCTTGAGTGGCCACTTTTTTGTGGCTATTACATTCAGATCAAGAATATGTGGTTCTCTGGGGGGGATGACACATTTCCACTTCAGTTTTTTGGTTTGTTCACAGCCCTAAGATAATTCACTGTGAAGTTCCCTATGAGTATCCAGGATCTAATGGTACCTCCTCACCACCCTCCCTTTAGTATGAAGTAACCTTGTCTGTTCCTGCAGTGAATCACAAGTCTGTGGTAATGACTACCTTTCAGGTCTTGCTAGGTTTGCTCTCTCTGTATGGATAGTAATGGGTAGGAACCCCCATGTCCCTGGAGTATTCCCGGTAGTGGCCATCCTCAGACGGTTCATGTATCCTCTGAACAGTCTCACTGAAGTACCAGGTATGCTATTTCCGAAGGATCAGTACATACCAGCTTATAAGATTCAACTCAGGACCAGAACTTTGCTTAACTCCACTGCACTAAGGTGCATTTAAAGTAAAAATAAGAATGTTTATCCTTAATGCCTAGAGATTCAGGAGATAGTGAGTTAAGGATATAGGAAATAATCATAACACATTTGCCTGGATATCTGAGACATGACCTGTATAGCCCTTGGAAGCCCAGACTCCATGTTAAGGAATATGATGTACTGTCAAGACTTTTCTCTTGGCCTGCAGCTTGATGCAGTGTAGATGCTTACAGACAATGTCAGGGTTACATACTAGACCTACACGCATGGAGGCTTATGTTGTCTTTTCATTAGAGGCAAGACAATTTTGAAGGTGATACTTCAAGAACCAAAACCACTTAGTGGCTCTTCACCTTGGTGGGGAAGAAAATGTGAAGGCAGGATCACTTAGCAGATGCTCTCAAGATCAACACAAGTATTCAGTGAAACCAGTACTCCATGTCGTCAATGGGTTCACCAGGTAAAAGATCTCTGTGAACAAAACATCAGATGCCAGCCATACTGAATGAGAGCACCACAGTCAAAAGCTCTATCTGATATGGGTCTTCTGGCCTGGAGACTATTCCTTTACATCTTCCAGTCCTCCTATTGCCCAGCGTCATAAAGAAGATAATGGTGGACATCACATACTAATAGCCCCAACTTGGCATGTCAACAGTGATATCTAGATTTTGTGTACTTGGCCAGGGATCTACCATATTTGCTGCCCTTTTCTACTGACCTGTGTCAATAATAAGGGGAGGATTCTGCATTCCAACCCAAAGACACTTCACTTGGCATTGTGGAGGAGGAACCTCCTAACTAATGTGGTCATTTTATGCTCTGAGTTTGAGACACTTTTGTAATCCATAAAGAGCTTCACTTTGCAATTATAGACAGTCTCAGGGCTTAGCTGTAGCCTTTCTTATAGTCCATAGAACAACAGTTATCTGTTCACATTATGTTATGGACAAACACATATTTTCTTTCCTTGCAGTCTCCAGATTCCTTAAGGACATGGTAAACCCCCCCATTAGGGAGCTTCTATTTTTATGGAACCTAAAAGTTGACCTAACAAAGCCCATGGATTCTCTTTATGAGCCTCTGGCAGAAGCCTTTCTTGAAAATATATCTTGATCAAAACTGCCTTCCTTGTTGTAGGATCTATGTTCTGATAGCTTCTCTATCTTATGTTCTAGTGGGAGGGAAAAAAGGCAGTCACATTGAGACCTCATCCCAGCTTTATGATTATTGGTCTTAGATTTCCCCCTATTTCAGTGTATTTTCATGCTTGTTTTTCTCCAGATCCCTTTTCCATATCCTAGATGTTAAGTGGGAATTCTGTTCTTGTCTGGAAAATATCAAGCATTTAGAAAATGTGTTTTTGTAGCATATGGTCAGATGCCAAGACAGGGGTGGCTAACCCGTTACAGACAAAGAGCCAAAATAGTGGTGGATACAATGCAAAGAGCCGAGGGAGAAAAGTTGTTGAGCCACCGCCCTTTTAAGAGCAGAGCAGGCATTGCCCTTTGAAGATGGCAATTTTGATCTCAGCACGGGATGCCACAACTCTGTCTCTGTCTCAGAAACACGCTGCCCCGCGAGGTGCAGGTGCAGGAGCTGCAATATTTTCTTTGAAGAATCGCACGTGGCTCTCTAGTCACAGGTTGGCCACCCCTATGCCGAGAGAACCCATCACCAAACAGATTTTCTTATGGATTAGGAACTTTATAGAACGTAGTTACATTTTAATTAGGAGACTAGTAACTTATGGTTTAAAGATCCATTCTAGGAGAATCACTGGCATATCTTAGCAGGTTTTCCTAGTGGAGATAAGCAGAGCAACTTGCAGTTCTGTGCACACTTTCACAAGATGTTAATTTTTAGATTTAGCATCTTACTCTCATGCCTGACCGGGGAGAGCAGCTATGTTACAGCTAACAACTTATATGTTCATCAAAACTCCTAGTTCGTTGTTCTTCTTTTGGACCACTGTTTGGCAATGCTCTCACAAATGGAATGTACAGGGACCTTTGAAGAAATAGGAGATACTTACTAGTAACTTTTCTTCGAGTTGCTCCTGTAAATTCATACAGTTTATCTCTCTTCACTTCTGCATTGCAGTTTTGTCTACTCTGAAGTTAGTGCAAAGAGAAGTTGAGTGGTTGGGGTGGCATGTGTATTCTTCAGAGTGAGGCAATGACATCACCGTCATGTGAGCTTTCTTGTGAAACCCCAATGGGCATGACTTTTCCGGTAGTAGTACTACTCAGTGCCAGGAGCGCAAGGGTGACTACATCAAGGTGATTTTCAAACTACAACAGTTACTGTTAAATAATCTCTTTATTTTTTATCCTATTTACATAGTATGAAGCCATGAAACTTTCTGTAAAGCTGTTAAGCATGTCCATATCAATAAGGGAAAACAAGGAGAAACCGGAGTTGATTAAATTTGCAGTAATTGACTTGAGCACATTGTTAACGCAGCGACCAGGTGCAAAAGCAATAAGGTAAGCCTTTTCCATCAAACTATTTTATTCCTCAGAAAATGACCAAGATATTAATAAAGATGCCCCTCTTAAGACTTTTCCTTTTATTCATTGATACAAATAAGTGAAGTATAACATACCAGTCACTGTTAGTTAGCAGGTGCCCTTTGAAGTAGGAATAAGATCCTCCGGAAAAGGGCGCTTTTTCCGGAGGATCGGGGCCAGTGTAGACGCTCTTTTCCGGCTTTTCTAAAAGCCGGAAAAAAGCTGCGGACATTTTTATTTAAATGCCGCAGGGGATATTTAAATCCCCCACGCATTTCCCTATTGCGATCTCAAAAATTACCATGCCCCTTCCGGAAAAGGGGCCAGTGTAGACGTAGCCCCCGTGTGCTACGATTCTGCCACGGCCAGGCATATATTGGTTTATAGGCTTTGGTTCATCCCAGTGCTTTTTTTGTGATGGTTCACACTGATCATCTTTTTTTTGGGAGCACTCGCTGCTTTTCTCCAGCATAGCCCCCAGCCGACCCTGGACACACTCGAGCCGCGCTGGATGGAAGCCCGCTCAGGACATGTGGCAATTAAAGGGGCTGCTATCACTTTTATTTCTTCGACAAAACCATTGGCAACCCTAGTACTGGCACTTTTTTTTTTAAACAACAAAAGCACTAGTTCACACTATTAGTTATGCCTAAGGATCCTGCAAGGCCTACACAAGTAAAATGACCTGAAAGATCTGGGAATTGGTAACTGAAGGACTAGCATTCTAATCTAAATTTTTTCTTCTCCATTTCAGAAAAGACTATCAGAATGCTCACAAGGAGCATTGAAAACAAGAAAAGGGGCATTTGCTATATACTGTAGCAGTGTAGAATACTTCTGTTTTTATGAGGGGAATTCTCCAACAGGGAAATATTTAAAAGGTGGGGAGTGTTTTAGAAAATGAGGGCTTTGCTACACAACCAGTTCTCAGAAAACACACACACACACACACACACACTCAGCTTGCTGAGAACCGAATGTGTATTAGATGAGTGTGTGTGTGTATAAAATATAATAGAGAATATCAGCATCACAGTCAGTCCTGCTAGGGACTAACTGTTGTTGTTGACCCCACTGATTCATTGGTAGTACTTTCATCTGGTCCTTTTTTACATGGAAGTAGGTTAAATGCTCTTCAGCAGAGTTAGATAGTCCTTTGTGAGCTAGTACTGGGTAGATTCGCTCCATAGCTTGTTGTGAATTAAATGCTCATTAAGGTAATTCCTTAGACTTGTTTTGATGGAGGGAGGAGGGTGTTTATTCCTTTAAACTGGTATACATTACTTGTAGCTAATAAGACATCTGCTGTTTATTTAATGTTCCATTTCTATACTATTTTAACTTCACAGATTTGAAACAAAAATAAGCATGTTTGAAGTTACAGGCATGTCTCAAGCAAAATACATACCTTGTTTACTATCTTCTCGAACAATCCATTCGGAAAACAATACATCACTCTTGAGCATAATGTTTGAAACCAATCCTTTAGATGAGAAAGCCGATCAGAAACTCAGAATAGAATCACAGCCATTGGAAATAATATATGATGCTGTAAGTAAAAAATAAGTTAATGAAGGATTAGTCTGCTAAAAATATGATGTACCGTATATACTCGAGTATAAGTCGACCCGAATATAAGCCGAGGCACCTAATTTTACCACAAAAAACTGGGAAAAAGTATTGACTCGAGTATAAGCCTAGGGTAGGAAATGAGGCAGCTACTGGTAAATGTAAAAAATGAAGATAGATACCAATAAAATTACATGAATATTTATTTCAAAGAAAAACAATAACCTAGCTCTGTAAGTGGAAAAGGGGGTCAACAAAAACAATATGATTCTGCAGGCACAGCCACAGCTCAGCCCCAACAACCTTAGCTCAATCAGCAACCAAGCTCAATCAGCT